TAAAACTACAAGAAGTTTAAATAAAATATAATAAGCATGAAAATACAACCAATATGTCTATATTTATAATTATCCATCCACAGATATTTTTCATGATTATTAAAATACGCAAGTGATTCCTAACTTATTAATGCTATTTTGTTATTTGAGTCAATTTCTAATTAACTATTTAAATTTACTAAAGATTCTTTATATCTGTTGAAATCTTTCTCTACTATTATTTAAAGCTGTTGCATAGTTTGGTCAATTTCTAATGGTATACTAAAGCCCATAAGTACATGATTATTAAATTGATATTATGTTAAATTAATTTTTAATTAGTTAAATTCGCATTTACTGTAAATAAAATTACCACTTACATTTCTAATCACACAAAAGAAAATGGATAGAATCAGGTTGTACTAACGAATCCACAAAAATATCTGTCAATTTCCATTTTGCTCCCAAATTATCTGTGGGATGAATTAAATAATCTTGATGCATTACTTCATCTTCTTCTTCATACAAGTCGGTTAAATGTTCTGATTCATCTAAACTCACTAAATTATATTGCATATGTTCATCTTCTTCTTTAGTTAGATTTATCCATCGTTCTACAATTACTTTCCAGTCATCTACACACTTAACTGTTTCTATATGATTATTATCCCTAGTATCTTCCGTATCAATATTCATATTATTAGTGTTTTCATCTGATAATATAAATTCCTCTTCATTGTCATTATCAGGACTATTTGTTCAAACGGAATAGCAATATTTTGTTTATATGTTTTAATGACTTATCAATCGTCTCAATATTTCGTGAATATAAAAGCTCTGATCTTATTTGGCTCATGGCAAGGACTTTTTTATACTATTAGATATAAAATTTAATAAGCATAAATAATCCTGTGACTAATTGGATATTTTATTACCAATACAATATTTAACAAACGAATGATTTAAATAAGAAATAATAGTTAGGGTTAGTAGTTTAAAAAATAATTATTTTGTTAGAGTACAAAAGGTGTTTTTTTTAACATTCTAATTTCATTCTAGTTCGTATAGTAATGACACATTATATTGGCAATAAATTTATATATTGATATTTAAAAAAAAAATAATAATAATTTACCTGAAGTCGATTATGACGATCTGAGTGATACCATCCCATTGCAGAGAATAACCGTTCTACTGATGTCGTGGTTATACAAATTGAAAAAATGCGAACTGCCACAAGATGAATTCTACAGCAACTCCTTTACAAAAATTCCAATAATTTAGTATATTACTACCATATTGGTCAAAAGTTTCTTTATCAAATGGGTATTCTTCACTTTCATAATGTTGCAATTCACGCAAAATAGAACATGGAGGTTTATCAAACCAAGATTTATAATAGTGTACAATCCATTCTCCCATATGCGTAAAAGAAAGACTATCAACATTTTGGTTAAATTGTGTATTACAATAACTCAGATGTAATAAAAAAGACAAAAGTAACAACGGCTGCTTCCAGGCTGACCATCGTTTTTCTAATTTCATTAGTAAATAATCTTTAAGATTCTGATCAATAATGCTTTTAATAACTTGACACACCCATCCAAAACTATGCAAAACTTCAGTAAGGCAGCCTTTATCTCGCTGAAGTTTATTTAATGATGCCATATATGGTTCGAGAAGAACCTTTAATTGTATAAGGTTTTTCTACTACTCATTATCAGAAATATTAAAAAGGATATTTCTAGGAAAACCTTTAAGATTATCATCATTTTCTTCTTTTATTCTTGTAGCTAAGTTTTTGAGTGCAGCACGGGACCTAATAATGCTAGCGAAGCACAGGTAGTGACTATTCCATCGAGTGGAATTTGGGGTTACAAAAGAAATATATGACTTATATAAAGATGCTTGCTCTGAACGAAGGCACCCTAAAAAAAATGTTGACCGATGAAAAAAGGATACAAGACAAATGGCTTGTTCAGCACAACTCACAATGTGTTTGAAATTTTAAATATATCACCGACACACAAGTTCATTTGATGTGCAAAACACGGGATAAATATGATTTCTGAATGCATACGCCGTAAACGTTTTCTAAATTTAAAAAAATTTATTAATAATAATGATAATGCTGTATCACTTCACTAATATAGACACAACATTTTACTAATGATCAATTTATTAATGTTAACAAGTTCATTTCATTGATATTTTATTTTACACAACTCATTTCGCTGACTAGTTTTTTTTTTTTTTTTTTATAAATTACACTAACCTTTACTCTAATTTTAACTTGACCCTAATAACAATGACTAGAATTACCTTGTCAGGAAAATAAGCTATAGGTAAAATAAACTATCAGTGAAATAAACTTATCAGCAAAATAAGTATAGTATTGATGAAATAAATATGTCAGTGAATTAATTGTTAGTATCTACAAAATAAGCACTGGTGAAATAAGTATATCTAATATTATCTGGCTGCTTCATATTCAGATGCGCAATCTGTTACAACAGCAATAATCTTTATTTCTTTTTTTTTTAGATCATCAAGCATATTTTCTGTTCGATGTTGTACATCAAACCATTTTGTACGTTTATTTGATATATCTTCTGCACTCCAAACAAGAACTTTACCCTTCGAAGTAATTAAAACACTTCTAAAAATTGACTCTTTTTTTATATTTTTCCAACCATCATATGCTAATGTAACACTATTTTTATCACTTTGAGCTATTTCTTTAATTGATTTAGTTATATTTTGTGTATATTCTGCTAAAATTTGGCCACCAAGCTTTTTTCGTGAGGGCAGTTTAACTGGTGGATAGAGAAACTCAAAAAGCGCCTTTATTTCTAGATTTTCTACCCAAAAAAAAGCCCAACCACATGAAACAGTGCTTTAAGTAGAAGTTGTTCAAAATGCTTCTGTTGATCTTCACTTAAAGGCTGCAATAAATATCGATCCATTCTATTTTTTTTGCTTCGAAACTTATCTGACTGAAGAGAGCTGGCAGCCAAAGAAACTTCTGATCCAGTAGCAGAATTATCATCAATACTTTCTTGAAAAGCTAAGTCAAAAATAAAACCAACATTTATATACAGAAAGCAAACAATACTGTATTTAATTAATTACGCTTACAATTATTAGTTGTTGAAACCACTTTATCTGATTTGGCTAGAATTTCTGTTTGTTCAGATACACTATATTTTTGTTTAAAATATATGCAATTTTTTAAGTGGCGGCGAACTAACTCTTGTGTGTTTGCAAACCTATTATTATATACATCTTCAAAAGAAGAACCAATTACACATTCTTGACAGACACAGAACTTGTTGCTTTTATTTGCTTTTTCATCAAGCACGATTATAAATTCCAATAGACAATAGGGTTGTTTGCCCATATTAATATAGTAAGTAAGCAAGGAAAATTCAACCAGTAGAATTATCAATGTGGGACTTTGAGATTGCTACTTGGTTTCTTAATCAAACTTTGTTTCTAAAAATTCCTTAACTATTTATTTGTTTTTATCTATATTCTTAATTCAAATTTTTGAATTCTCCAACTAACCTTATTAAATAGTATGATAGATAAATTTTAAATGCATAATAACCACTTAATACAGTAATGTAGAGAACAATATGATACTCCTAAAAAGGCTTTTTATTTTTCATTTTGCAAAATAAGCAACTGAGACAATTATAATTATGATGATCGTACTATTGATTGTTACTGAATTTATCTTTATCGTATAATGGCCTCATTCAGCGGTTCAGACTTTTGAATTATATATGTAACAATTCAAATTTACCCATATTACTATATTAGATATAGTATACTAATGAAAAGAGTTTGAATCGCTAAAAGGGGTCGATAGAGCCTTTTATTCGAATAACAATAAACCAGAATAACTAATTATAGTGATCACTTTACCCAAATAAAGGGTATTTTCAAGCACCTCTCTCAATGAACTCAACAAAGAATTAGATCAATTTGTCTAATAGACAGCTGATCAAATTTTTTGTTGAGCTTACAAGAAAGTTGTTTGATGCCCAAAGTATTGTTATGATGCGAAACATTTTTTTAGACCCATTTCTTTTTACATTATACTAAATTAAAATTTTCTTTGTTAAACCAGTTTTGAAGAAACAAAATGCACAAATACTAATCAGAAGTTATGATATTCTCACGATGGTTTTATTTTCAGCTTAACACATTATTTGACAAAATTACTAAGATAGATTTTCTATTGTGATTATTACCGTCTAGCATTATTATAGTTAGATTACTTCTTACAGCACTTGATAACAGTAAAATATTCAAAAATCTGTATCATTTCACCTTGGGTTAAAAGTAGAGATCAAGACTTAAGCAATTTCTAGGATTTTTCATTGTTTGAACAATGACAAATTCCTGAAATTGCATAAATCTGGACACTAGTTAAAATAAAAAACTATTGTTAAATAAATGGTGTGCCACCTACCCAAATATGCTATCGTACGAATATTATTTTACCATTAATTTAAATTGAATCATATTCATATTTGCATATATGTACATATATAATTTATTTGAGAAAGGCCAGCATGCGGTAGTAAAAATAATTAGCGTACAACAGCACATTTAATTGACAACGCCAAAATTTTTTGTTCGTTATTAGCCGTATATCATCACGAATTAACATTAATTGTATTAATTGTTCAGGCACTATTTTTTAAACCTGTTCTTTCTCACCCATTGTTAAATAATAATATTGACAAATATAAAAGTATGGGATAATAACCATAAATATTACGGGAAGGATGCTAGAAAAGGGAAGTCGTGAATATGTTAGTTGAAAGGTAAATAAAATATTATTTTACCAGCAATCTAATTTAATATGTCACATGTTAAGTTTTTATTGGACGAAGTGGTTACACAAAGGATTTTTTTATTTGACCCTTTATTTGGACATGGACACCTTTTGGACTTAGTCCATGTCCATATTTGTCTATGTCCAATTAAAATTTCGTTTGGACATAGTCCAAATGCCAACACTGTGTAAAGCAGTTTTATAAACAAAATTTCAAGTTATTGGCGATTTTTGTAAAAGGCGTAATTTTCATGTTACATCTGATTCTTCAATCTAATTGGCTAAAATTACGTGCTGAAAAAAATTTTGGGGGTGAGCTAGAGGCAGCAGAAAACTACGGGCACAACATTTTACATGACTTATATACACAACATCGGTCTGAGTTAAGATTAGAGTTAACGTTAGGGTAAGAGTATTTTAGTAATGCAGGTTATTGTTGTGCCCATAAGCGTGAAATGTTGTGCCCGTAGCAATCTCTAAGCTAGAGGGGTTATATAGATATTTAATGTCACATTACTCATTATGTACGTACGTACCTGATTTTGGCGGCGATACTGGGTAATTTTTACCGAACAATACAAGTCAGCTATTTCTGAGCCAAAATTATGAGTGAGCCATGACTTCATTAGTAATCTTGGCAATTCCAGCCCTGCCGGTCATGATTTCGAGGTATTCCGATCAGAAGTTTGTATGAGTTCCTAAGAACTGTCTGGATACTGGAAGTGGACGGTCGTCATGTGATATTAATGAACATTCTAAGCAATTTTAGGAGTTGTGAAAAGGAAATCGAGTTAGTAACACAAGTTCCAGAAATCCTTGGAATCATGAAATCTTCGATATCTCAGTTATTAGCGATATAACGGTTATATCTCAGATAGCGAGGATAACCAAGATAATAGAGATAATAGAAATCACAAAGATATTAGATATCATCAATATATTAGATATCAGTATTATATTAGATATCTCGTTACTATGTAAAAATAAGTATATAAGCGAATACATTTTGCTTTGAATAAAGATTAACTCAGTGGAGTTCAAAGTTCCAAGTTAAAGAAATTAGAGTATTTAACTTTGAGAGTAATAAATTCTTTAAGTAGAAGCGTTTATTCTACTAATCCTCCCGATAAGTAAAATCTATATTAACAGAAGGAATTCATGACCAAATCCCGTAATTCTGAATAAAGAGATTCGTGACGTAATCAAGAGTTCTAATCCGGCACTATCGCTAAGAACCCAATCACCCTAGTTACTCAGACCTAGTGTTGGTAGGCGAAACTTAGAGGTTTCGCCACAGACGAAAGGCGAAACCTAGTTTCGACTTTCGCCAAAAAAAAATTAAAATGGCGAAATGGCGAA